TTTAGAGACAAATCCTCTTTTCTCATTCATGCTCCTTGGTGCACTAAAGAGGAGATGCACTTCTAAAACTTGATTAGATTTTTTAGAAAGTCCCATTTTACACCATACTTTTACACCTGCTGCCAACTTTAGTGACAGAAAGTTAACAAAAGATTCCACAATGATTCAAACCTTCCTGGGAAAGCTGTGACTAAAGTTACAGTATTTGCAAAACCAATAGCTTTCTAGTGAAGCAGTGACTAAGTGTGTTCCCACCAGCAGCTCTCCACTGAGGACCTCCAGCAGTCTGGTGAGCATGTAGCCATCCCTCAGGTCGTTGTACAGGTCCGAGATGCGACAGGAAACTCTGGCCAGATGGGAGTTGACCCACTTGGTGAAAGTCTTCTTCTGCACCGCATCTCGTTCATCTGACGGAGGACAGAAGGAAAGAAGCTTCACAGAGATTTGATTCAAGGCAGGAAGAGATGAGTATTTAGAGGTTCAATGAACTTTAAATGTAATAGTTTGGATAGTGTTGACAGAGCATCCTCCTACACAGCGTTAACTAGAAGAAGCATTTAGTCAGCGTAAAATCAAGATGCACTGGAAAAATGAAGTCTGTAAAAAATGGTCAAAATCTGGCAGCAAAGGTGTGAAATGTTCAAAAACTGTAAAACTGAAGCCAAGTATCCGTAAACGAACGATAACTTCAGCTGATTTAAATACGGTCAAACATTTTATGGTCACACCCAATGTTTGCTACGGCCATTATTTATTTATTTTTTTTATTTTTTTTTACAATCAGCATGTAAATTAATACCCCTGTGATTTTTATTATCTGTAATTTAAATAAAATAAGAAATTCTGTGAAATAACAGCCCTGAATATACCTTGTTATTTTCTTTTTTCAAATAATGTCAAATATCTGTAAAATGACTCTATTTTGGTGATTTAAATAAAAAATAAAATTGTGTAAATTTACGGTCAAACGTGGTAAAAAAAAAAAAAAATAACAAAAAAAACCTAATAATTATTTTTAAAAATATAAAATTGTTATTTACACTTCTGACCGTTTTTTTTTATTTAAGCCAAATTGTAAATTAATACTTAAATTAATTGACAATTAAATATAATTTACCATTTTTCAATTCTTAATATATTTTTTCCCCCAAATAAATTTAAATATAGTTTTTTTTTTT